CTTTAATGTGTGAGGGGAAAGATAGAAGCCCCCTGCGAAGACAGTTAACGTACCCCTGTTTCTATCAACTTGCGCTTACATTGCGCTTCTCTCATTTGCAATCTAATAGCTGTTGCAGTATTGTTTTCCATAATTGTACAGTAAGGGAAATGTCCTTGTTAATGCTGTATTTTAAAAATTCCTTGCTCCAGTTTCTTTCCTATTGAATTCTTCCGAAGCAGAAGTAATTTTCTTGCTGAAAGTAAGTCTCTCCGCGCTTTTCTTTTACAGATACGAGACTTTTATGTAAAAATTATAATGTGTTATGTACTTATTTTGTTTTTCAAAGTGCCCGGCGTACTGCTTGAGATTGAATGAATATGCGGAGTACTGCGTTATATGAGAAACATGTGCCGAGCAGCAGCTGTTTGTTTGAATTTAGCTTAAGTCTTTGCTTCTTCTGGGAGAATGCGCAGGTGGGATCCAACAATCTGGACTGGTATACCCCATGCGTATACATGCACGACTGCAAAGTGCAAAGGTGGAATGCTCGAGGGGCTGGCCGATTCCTGATTCAAGGTCAGCGAGTTTCCGGCGGTAACTCTTTCGTTCTAGAATTGTGAAATAACGTTGCATGTGCCCTTGACCGCGCAATAATCAAAAGAACAAAGTTCGGAGAAGCATATCGGAACTTCGCAGGATTTCGGTTTTCATGCCAGTCGTGCTCAATGCCAGTCGTGCTCAGCAGGAAAACTAACATAAACGTCTTTATCTTGTGCAATGTGCATCAGAACTGCAGGCCTTTCATTCCGCACATCGCGCATGTACAAGCCCATCCAACAATTCTTTGACCGCTGTAAGCGGGAATTTAAAGAAACGTGGGCTTGAGCCATTTAATGTGCTTCGACACGTCACGCCACATGGGTCTGCGTATTCAGCGTAAATAAGCAACAAATCTGCATGTGTTGCATTTACTGTATCTGTGATATACATTGTAATATATTTAGAATTATTTATGGTAGTTCATAAACTGATCTGTTTCTTTTGTAATTACTGATAATTTGACTATGATAATTCCAACTGCGCTCTGTTTCGTTTTGTTGATTAACCTGATAATTTTAACTGTGATGATGGCTTTATCAGTGATTAATTGTGATCTAATATATTATTATTGGTTGAATATTTATAAATATATCTGCCACTACACTACGATGCGTATTTGCATTACTGTGCGCGATTTATATGCGCTGCGCTTACAGCGGTCAAAGAATTGTTGGATGGGCTTGTACATATACTGCCACGAATATTGAAAAATTGTTTTGCTAATGTTATGCGATCAGTACTCGTACGTGTACAGATACACCTGACAGCAGAAATAGGACCGCGTACCACGGAGCCGTCGATCCCCTTATTTAACTGTTGCTGCTCAGCCAGAATAGTTACGAACTTACGAGCTGCTCGTTCCCGCAGAAATCAGCATAAAGACCTTGGGCATTCCGACCTTTCCTTCGCATTGCAGGCGAATCGGGTGAGCGTCGGGACAACACTGTAATGGATCTCCGGTCATCTTTTCCGAATCGGTGAGTGCCTCGTTTTCTGTGAAATTTATTCGTTTTCGGCAGTTGCTGATAGTCGCTCGTTAAACATTTTTAAAATTTGCGGCCCTGGTTGAGGTTTTTTGCCTTTATACAACAAAATTTTTGTGCAATCGTTTTTCCTCGATTACAGTAATGTTTTCTATCGGTTTGCCTTTTCGTATTCTCAGTTTCTGTCTTGCTCGTCTTCGCTAGAACGTAAAATTAAAGGAATTATTTTTTAAATGAGGATTTTCTTCTTTATGTTAAGCAGCTTTCTAGCGTGTCGATTTCATGAAGAATCGTGCCTGTAGCAGCATAAATGTTTTTTCATAAATGCCTGATGCAACCGCATAAGACATCACGATTTTGCTATCGAGAATTTTCGTGTTTTGCGCGGAAACCCGAAGAAATTCGGCGAGATGTCGCAGCTTACCGTGCGGGTTCGCGTGTCTGGCAGTGACGTCATCGGACGGGAGAAAAGGCGAGCTCGATCGGATTATCGGAACACGTCGCGTGCGGCGATACCGGCGCGTTGCGTCTGATACAATATTTAATGCTGTACAGGATTCAGCTGCAGTATGTTAATAGCTACTGGTCTTAAACGGTGGTACATTCCCTACGGAGTACCACCGATGTCTGATCGCTGGAAACGTGCCTTTATTTTCGCTACATCTGTAAATCGCCTCCGTAACATCTGCAGTTCGTGCAGTTTTGCTTTATTACTTATCACGAAATCAGTAATTACCATACATGTAACATTTGTGCATATTTTTTATTGCTTAAACAATTAGGTAATTGCGGAACTGGGGAAAGCCCCCGCCAAATTGTGGTAAAATTGCTGATTAGATCACTCACGTAATTAATGCTGTTCTACTTAATAATATTTAAAATTAAATGTTTTATTTGCTAATTTCGAGTGAATGCAGAATGATATGTTGTGATGTGGCGGAAGGTGTCTTCTTTCAAAATTTCGCTACGTACAGATTATACTTGTTATTTATTCAAAACTACAGATAAATACTGCATACCAAAAGCTTTCAGATTCTGCTTTCTACAAAAGTACTTCGGCATTTCCGTTTTCATGCCAGTCGTGCTCAGCCAGAGCATTGGCAAATTATCACTGGCAGTAGTAGGAATATCACGTAGCCACTGGGCACTAGTCTATTATCTGCGCAGCGCAATTGCGGATGCATTTGCAGGCCACTGGCTAGTTCGGTTGAACGAATTCTAGGTAGCCACTGGTCAGCGACGGCGCCGACACTCTAGCGCAAGCGCGCGTACGAATGCGTGTGCATTTCAGTGTGCACACTTTGCAGTACACGCGATGTGCGGTACACGCTAAAGATCCGCATGGCCACAGATCGCAAATTGTAATCGCGGAATAGGAAAAAGGAAGAGAAAGAAAAAAAGGAAAAAAATAGTAAAAAATAGGAAATGTTATAATGTCAATAGAAATAGGAAAAAAAGGTTAATTTGAAGAAAAAGAGTGGAAGATATGTTTTATGTGTTGTGGCATCCTTTACATGCCACATATTCAGAAAAAGGTTCAAAAGATTAATACGAGTAATATACTGAAGTTCCGGTTGCAATTAACGCTAATTATTGGAGTTTGTAGGAATACTGTGTGGGATAATCGCCCATGATCGCCCAACTGCCAAACTATCGCATTACAGAATGGAGTTCTACATGCAAGCAGAATAATTTCTAGGCTGCCTTTTGTGGCATTTGCCAGCGAATGTCAAAATAAATCCATAATCTCAACAAAATTGTCGAACGTCGAATATTGTACGCTAGAGTGCCCACAAGGCAGTAATAACGTCCGTGATTTCACCTACATGTTTCACAAGAACCGTGTTTCATGGTATTTGGTAAGTTACATAAGCTGTTTGCATCTGGAATAAATAAGAATTAAGCAGTAGGTATCTGTAGATCTTAGAGAACTCGTATGTCGTAAATTTTATTTTTTTACAGCACATGGACATGGTGATATGATCATATGCGTATAAATAGACAATAATATGTGCACACACGAATGACAAAAAAACTACGTGTTTTTTGCAGTTACAAACTTTTCTGGAAACACACGTCTGGAAACTGTACACCGTACTTTAATTTCTTTTAATCAAGGACAGAGTAGTAGGAAAAAAATTATGTTGTGCAGTGCGCATAACCAAGCAACACCAACTGTATGACGGGTGCTTGTAACTTGTAAGTACAGTTGAAAATTTCGCAATTCATGTCAGCTGTCAAATAACCAATAAGCACTGTAACTGGCTAATGGTAATAACCTTGTCAGTTGTAAATTGCTTCAAAGTTCGTTTAGCTATACTCTGCTCTACTGTTCTACCATAAGAAAACATGTAAAAGCTAAACCGTAAAAAAGCGCTATGAGTGCTATACTGTAGTCATTGTCCAAGTGCATGTATATGCTTATAATACACTGCGACAGTGCTGCTTAGTGCTTACTGTTTCTGCAGTGCAGTTTGAGAATTGAGAAAGTCAAACGATTCTATGTGACGTGTGTTTGCGGTATCCTTTGCAATCATCAACGGCACAAACGGTCTGGTGGCGTTCTCTGAACGCGAGGTATCTTCAACGAATGCCATCCAACGATAACCATGTCTGGAGTTTGTACACACCGGCCACTTGTTTCGCTGCTCAAAGGCCGTTTATATTGTCCACCGCTAGATTGCCCGTCCAGAAATGACGAAACTCCCAGCCCACACTTTTCACACCCCGAGATGCATGGAGTGAAAGTGTCGTGGAGGTTTGTCCGAAAGGTTAAGGGGTGCTGCCAGATGGTAACCTGGCTCATTGGCGACGACATTGGAGTCTCATTCAGACCCGAATGACAACGTTCAAGAGCTTGGCTAATTTCTTGAATGTGACAAATGCTAATTCACATATTTTGTTGATTACGCACCTTAATGTAAGACCTCGATGCGGATACTGTTCACCGTTTGTAAAATCGTTTTCAGCGGTCGCAAGAACGCATTTTTCCATTCCGTACATTGTTTTAGGGAAGCCTGTCTAATGTGACAATGCCATCGGCATCCCTGATTTTCATCCAGATGCATTTGCCAATATGCTAAAGTGCGTGAAGACATTCTTAACTATGCAGATATTTATGATATTGTGTTGGAGTGCATATATTTTGTGATAAGGTGCGCTTGAGTGCTGTGTGTTAGACTGGTAATCATTTTCACGCCTTGCAGTTTTCTCTACAGTATACCCGGACGCCTAGTTAAGTGCTGACGGTGTCTTCGAGATCATCGTCCGCGCCGACAAAACGATTTCTCGAATCTGTTCAGATTTGCGCTGGCTTCGTCGGGAACCATTTGGATGCCTACACTGGAATCGCCTGGGCTCTTTAAACCAGGCACGTTTGACTTGTTTCTGTAGCGTTACTGTTTTATTACACCAACGTCTACTTGTATTTTCAAACGTGAAAAATGGCTTTCTTTGTCATGCGGGCTGTTGGCTTGCTGGCATAATTATACATCTGATCCACGATCCACTGGACCAGCGCTAGTGTATTGTAGTGATTGATGCTGACGTTTTAGTTGAACTGCGGTCGCAGGAATCCACTAACATCCTGTTGGGTACATTTCCAAACCATTCTGCAACGAGACACGCTATCTGAGGAGGAACACGTCATTCACTTTGCTGCTGAACGGTGCGTACGGTAGTATAAGGCATAAAGCGTTTCGGAAATAAGAGTACTGTACTCGTATGTACATCGATGCATATCATCGAAATATTGGCTTCATCATTTGTCTGTTGCAGATGCGCATTAGCGACCCGCGATCACAACGTCATAGACACTTTGAGTGCAGATCGAAGCCAGATGGTGGGTGAGGGTAGCTTCTCGTTTCATTTCAGCTGTTGTTTGATCCGCACCTGACTGACGCTTCTGGCAAGAGGAGTTCTGAAACTGACAAGTTGCTTTGCAGTTACCGCTTCCTTCGGGCTAACAATGCTTTAGGTTACAGGTGACTTTACAAATTTGTAACAGATGTAATCTGAAGACGGTAAAGGTAAAGATCTGTACCAGTACGGTGCAAATGTGCGGTTCGCACGATACTGCAAAGAACTATTTTGCAAAATAGTGTAAATTAAGTACTTGTCCTCGTCGGCAACATAATGCGCCCGTGTAGCAGTTTCTGCAGCACAAATTGCAGAAAGTTAGCGTCTCTACAAACATCAAATCTTGCAGCCGAAAACATATACTATTCATACATATACCCATCGCAGTACTAAATAGAAGGCGTAAGTGCGACACACCTACAATACTTTCGGTGCAACGTCACGAGAAGGCAAGCCACCCATCTGCAGTCTGCACAATGCTTTATGGCTCGTAGGCTCCACTGGTTGCCATGTTAAGCGATTTCAAATTTTAGAAGTTTGAATTTAAATATGTCTAGAGTAGGAAATATCTAAGACATTCGATATATAATATGTGTGTAACTGAAGTCGAACAAATGTTGTGAAAAGGTCTTAACATGTGTGCATTAGAACACAACGGTCTTTTCACGGTCAACACACCCATTCACGGTCTGGACCGACCGTGAATGGGTGTGTATGCTAACTTGGCTTACTTTCAAAACGTTTTAAATCTCACTTTGCTTTTAATACGGAAGACATTTGCATTATGAAAGATCCCTTTCTTTTGAGCTATAACTCGGTGATCTTACAGCACGGGAAGTGAACATAAAACGAGTTCGCCATAGCAGTCTGTGGAGCCTGCGAGCCTTAAAGCACTGCGCCGCAAGCGGGCTGCTTTCCTTACTGTGACGTCACCATTGGTGCCCGTACGCCTTCTATCTTTAGTACCGAACTGATATAACAAATTTAAGGTGTTGTTCGGGAAGTCACTTTGGCATAGCAGTACTTTGAAAGTACAGCAATAGTTTTAAAGTACAACAATACTTTCAAAGTACTGTACTGCAAAACTTTAAAATGCCTCAGCGCTTGATCGTCTGTTTCGGCTATTTCGGCGTTGTTCGGGAAGGTCACTTTGGCACATCAGTACTTTGAAAGTACTGCTGTACTTTAGAAGTATTGCTGTACTTTCAAAGTACTGCAATACCTTAAAATGCCTCAGCGCTAGATCGGCTTGTTCGGCGTTGTTAGGAAAGGTCACTTTGGTGAATCAGTACTTTGAAAGTACTGCTGTACTTAAGAAGTATTGCTGTACTTGCAAAGTGCTGCAATACTTTAAAAGTATTGCTGTACTTTCAAAATACTGCAATACTTTAAAAGTATAGGAATACTTTAAAAGTATTGCTGTACTTTCAAGGTGCTGTTGTACTTTAGAAGTACTTTAGGTCCCTTTGGCACAGCAGTACTTCTAAAGTACTGCTGTACTTTAGAAGTATCGCTGTGTATTCAGCGTACTGCAGCACTTTAAATGCCTCAGCGCTGAATCGTCTGCTTCGGCTTGTTCGGCGTTGTTCGGGAAGGTCACTTTGGCACAGCAGTACTTTGAAAGTAGGGGTGTACTTTAGAAGTATTGCTGAACAGAAAGCCAGTAGTTCTGTCTCCAGGCAAAGCAATATGCAAAGCTACAGTATGCAAAGCAATATGCAAAGCACTTCGATTAACAAGCTGTGCCTTATAGACAACAACACTTAAATATAGAAGTTCTTAATAGTAGTACAGTAACTACCATACTACAGTGCCTACGTTAGCGCTCTGCAAAGGTTAACCTATTGCCAAATTACTAATGGGAGTATATTTAATTAGATAGTATTTGCCCGACACAGTATGTGACGTACAAAATTCGGTGTGTAAATGCCAGTACAGTACTTAGCGTTCAGAATGACGACCTCTACACAATAAGTGCAGTTTTTGCAACAGTAAATTTTGCTGTCAATGACGTGTTAATCGCTGTCAATGGTACCTGCATTCCTGATCACTGTCCACTGCTGTTTCCCAGGGGCTTGGGTATTACACGCTTGTGCAATCAATACCCAATATCGACCGCACGATGGGAAAGTACCAGTGAACTGCATCAGGGCGCACGGCGAGATGGGGAATTACAAACTATGGGGTAGCAATTACAGCACTGCCATAAATAATTAATATTGCAACAATACGGACGGTGCGACGGCAGTGATCAGGCAACGGTGCATTACACGGTAGGTCGATAAATAAAGCAATTGGTACCTACTTGACCATAGTACTACAACTCGGCGACGACATAATTGTATGATATACTCGTATTAGCGCTTAAGTAAGTACACAAAACAATGGTACATGCAGCAGAAGTGCACATGCATGCACCAATGGTGCAATAAAATGCACCATTGGTACGGATCTTTACTGGTGCCCTGAAGACTCCAGTTAAAGGCGTCCAACAGCAAAGAGAACAGCCCAAGCAGCGGTATGTGTGTCGTGTGAAGACGACTGAGCGTTGACCAGCCAGCCGTTCGTTCGTTATTTGCTGGAGGACCATGGATGCAACTTCTGAACCTAAACTACCGCATTGTAGTCGCCGTGCGAGAGCTCTACGAGAGTTCTTCCTTGTGGAACTCGCGCAAAGCGACTTCAGTACGGAGTTTCTGGGTTTGGTACAGCGTACAACCATGACGACCGGCATATGTTATGCACACAGTACTTGTAATTTATTCACCGAATTGTTACACACAGCGCAACGTAGTGTGAAGTCACTGAAGTACCGACAGCCTAAGACGCAACAATTAACCGATTTCGGTTTTTCTAGTTAACATTCAACTGGACTAATCGGTGGCGGCAAACCGACGAGAAGTGACTTCGATCTATGATTCTCTACAAGCGCTGCATCATCTATGTTCAGCGATTCAAAGAAATTTGGTGAACGTCCGCTTAGACGGTCGAACGCTAACACTTTATTCGCATCCGTTAAAATGTGCATAGTGCATTGCGTGACGCTGACCAACGGACGGACACCACATTTTCCAGATTCGCTGAACTTAGATGCCCTTTGCTGCCAAAAATGATCAAATTACTGACAAAATCGAAGTACCCCTGAGACGCTTAGGATTGCTACCGACCACCATAGACAACGCAACGAGGAAAAAATTAATGTACGTGTGTGAAGTAACCCGCCGAACACATTTACTGTTTCTGTTGACGGGTCGGTGTTTTCGGTCTTCCGTTTTTGTAGCCACGCGATTGCGCCGGCCAACTTCGAAGAGCAGCAATTCTGGCGGATGCGGCATAGTATGGCATTGTATTCGAACCCGAGGTTTGCACTACGCTGCACTTCGATCGTGAGGATGGCGGCAACGGTAAGGCGAGTTATCGATAACTATGTTAGGATATCTAGGACTTTACGCATTAACGAAAGGTGCACACTGTGGCGCAGCGCAAGCACTACATACTTAATGTTGCAGAATGGGGCTGCGACATACCTTACTTCAACGTCTATGTCATTTAAAAAGAGAAGAGAACATGGCAGTTTGTCGGAGAAGCTGTGGAAATCTGTCTTAAATCCTATTCTTGGAACCATGAAGGCTGCTAATTACCGGACCTAATCAAGCCCGTCATACAGTACTGAATTAGCGGATATGCACATTCCAGTGGTGAGGTGGTGCGGTTTGAAGATTGTACGATGTGAAGCGGCTGTACGAACTGGCGCTACTGGGATACAGCCACCTCGAACTAGGTCGACTATCTGATTCATGATCAGTGGCAATATTTTGTTCCACATGTTCTTCATTTCTCTGTAGCGATGAGGCTTGCGATAGCTCTAACCGCCCGCAGGTGATGTGTCACTTCCGGTATATTGCCAAATTTTGATAATAATTTATTTAAATTGCATTTAAAAACTTGGGATTGCGAAGAGCTGGTCTAGTCTCATGCAGTCTGTAATCTGTATTCAATATATTTTGATGAAGTTCTTGTTAGACTTTTACCAGCAATTGCAAATCTGTTTAATTTTGAATATCAAGTCCACGCTGATAAAAAATTTGTTTCCCGCAAGTGGCTGAATACCCACTGTCGGCGAGTGTGTTCCGCGTATGCAACTTTATTATTTTTGAAAAGGTACGCCGCCCGCAGCCAGACTTTAAAGCAGAGCGCTTCTGAATCTCAGTTTGATCTAATATTTTCTCCAGCACTCCGCAACTTTGTCTATAAACTGGCGTGGATAAATGAGTGATTTGCGGTTTTGTTTTGGCATGTTTCTGCTTTTGTAGCGAGAATGTCGTCCTTACCAGTTCCGCGTCGATCGAAATCCGCTAGTCGATCCCCACTCCGTAGCGAAGAGCGTGAAAAAGAACCATTCGCACACGAGCACTTCCAGTTGCTGCTTGTATCCCTGAAGCATGGGAAGAAAAATTGTAAGGAACACTGACTTTATTTGATCGATAAAAAAAGAAGGAATGAAGAACAACTGGCTACGTAATTAATTGTTGATTTACAGCAGTACTGTATTTTTGATGATAATAATTATCCTACTGCTCACAATTTCTTCTTTACAATTTCCTCAACTAAAACAATAATTAGGTAAACAACTGCGAGTGAAAGTGACATCGTAGCAATTGAATCACTATTTTTGAGATTTTTTATGTTTGCCGTTTAGGAAATATTTTGCGCTTGGTTTTTCTACGGCTGATCGCGGTATTTTTGCTGCAGGGGTTTCGGACGATTACAACGGTATATTACTGAGGCACGAAGCCTATGGAGCGCTTGAACATGCGCTCCCGAGAAATGACATGGAGACGAAAATGCTGGTACTACTCTTTGGAACCAACAAGGAGAGTCCCAATACAGTCCTGAAGGATTTTTTGGATTCCATTGGACCACTTTTGTAAGAAAAATTTATTTTTATATAACGATAATTATTTGGTGTACGTACAAAAATGCAGTAAGCCAAAATTCCAAATTCTGGTGGACTGGTTTGTGATAATCACAAAATAAGAAATCTGTTCTTTGTTCATAAAATTCAGTCGAACGATTTGTAAGAAAACTGTTACAGGCAGTACAGGTGGAATATATCAGTTTGCTACTGGCTCCGATTGAATTATGAGTACGAGTAATGTACACTTTACAGAAGGCAACTGTCGCATGAATGTTATTTAAGCGAGATTATGTAAGCAACGTGGCAATAGCAGATTCAATAGTTCTATCTTTTTACTGATAGCTTTTGTGTTACGCTGTTTCAGCAAACGGGACTCGGATGACGGGAAATTTGAAGTGCATCCCGAAATCAACGAGAAACGCGCCTGTGTAACAATGTTTAACGGCCTCGAAATGTCTTCCCAGCTTATCAAAGGCCACATTGAAGAGTGGAAGAAATTGCCGGAGAAAAACCAAAAATTATCATTTCCCCATAAACATATGTGGAGCGAATATGTAAGTAACGAAGTGTGTTACAATTTAATTAAAACAACAATTTTTGCGCGAAGTGACATGAAATTTTAATAACTTCAAATTACCCGGCTGAATTTCTTGAATGTATAATGATCACCTGTACAAACACGGTGTTCAACTTCCACGTGCGTTTCTCGTTGCATACCAATCCGTAGCGGTCTGAATAATTGTCTGATATTATCGTAGAGGCATGGATCCGTCGGAGCTAAAATGCAGACGTTGTACCATGATTCAACTCGAATGTTATCGTCACAGAAAGTTGGGATCAGCGAAACGGTTGTTTCTGGGCACGATTTGCACGAAGAACGGATTAAGGAACAAAAAAAGAAAAAGTAGCGAATGACCTTTATGAAGTGCTGAATTTTTTCGTGTCGATGCACGCTCAGAGAAAGAGTCTGCAATAAAGCCTAGAGTTCAACATTAAGTTTTAATGCTGGAGTAGATGTTGACGAGGAATCAGTGTCTATTCACATGACAGCCAAATAACGATTTGTCAAGGCATTTTGCGGCAGCTTCACCACATATCTTCATTATGCAAAAAGCGGTACTTCTGCGCGGCACCTCAGTTGATCGGTTAATACTTTACGGTTCAGCTATTGGATCGCCGAGCAAACGATATCAGATTAACAGATACGTAGCGGTATACGGCATGTGGCTGGACATCAGTTAGCTAGTCCAGACGGTTATTGTACAGTTCATACAGTAAGCAATTGTGCAAAATGGTAGCTCCACTTCGTGTATTAAACGAATCGTCGTCGCGTTTGTTCGTTGCGCGAGCTTGCGCAATGGAGGAATTAGCCAGTGATCCAGCATGTGACTGTAAGATTCAGCGCAGCCTTTTGATCCTCTTCTGCCTGCTGTAAACACGGCGTTTGGCGTAACCATATGTGGACGTCCACCCAAAGTTTCTACAGAGTACATCCGTTTATAAGCATGTATTGTTACAATGGGCAAACTTTGTTGAAGTACTCTGTAATCTGTATGGTCTCGCCAGGTGCAGGGCACTGCGCTGCGTCCGTACTTGCTGGTAATTCGTAATCCCTGACCTTCCGCGTATTCCTGCGTTATCAGATCTAGGCTAAAACGGAATTCTCTCCTCGGCGAAGATACCAAGCGGTAAATGCTCATTGTTCTTACATACAGAGTACAATGACGTGATAGTCGTATAATTTAAATGTGCAGTAACTGCACATTTAAATTATACGACTATCACGTCATTGCATGTCACTGCAGTACATAGGTTGTTTAATGTGAGGTGCATTATGGGCGATGCCTTACAGCGGACCAGATACGACTGGGCAGGCCCTTGGTGTAATATAATCGCGCGATTACAAAAACGGAAGCCTGACAACACCGACCCGTCAACAGGAACAGTAGCTGGGTTCGCGGGTGTACTTCACTTACATGAACGTACATTTTTCCTCGTTGGTGCTCGATGGTGGTCGGTAGCAATCCTTAGCGTCTCACGGGTACTTTTGATTTTATCAGTAATTTGATTGTTGTGGACCGGAAGCGCTAACCGATAACCATCACTAGCCAGATAAAGTGGAGCGTTACGCACTGAATTTCTTGATCTTACATTATTCTGAGTTCGTTATACAACTGCTGCACCGTAAAGTATTGGTGGTTACTTCAGCCAAGTCGAAGTTTTCATTTTGCAGAGCGATATTTTCCATCGGCATCAATTGCGATTTTCATGCGCATTACTTTTTATCGGCAGTGCCTTGTTTCAAAAAAGTCGCTGATGAATGCGCTCGTACTAAGTAATTTGAGAAAGTGTGTCTGGTACTGGCAAAATGCAGTGTCGTGCTTTTGTGATCCCTATTTCGAATCAAACGTATGGTACACTGCATTGGCGCAACAGAATTGTAGCCGCAACTGGCGCATTGTGGGCTCGCAACACGCGTATTGCTCTAACCTCAGCCAGTAAGAATTATGGAATTTGCACTATATTGTCCGATCGTTACCGCGATGGGCTTGTACCGCAGTAAAAGTAAGTACTACCCCTAACTATTCTTGGCTGATCAGGAAAGATTACTTGAACCAACTGTACAACATGCCGATTTCATGGCTGATTTCAGTAAAACCAGAGAAACTGTTGCTTATAGTAAGTGCATTATAATTGACGGAAGCCTAGCGAAGGTCCTTAATGTTCATCGTTAACGCAATATCCGTCGGTCGCCGCCCCCTAAACCACGAGTGCGGTTTTTGCTACCAATTACAGACATGCGCGGTGGGCATGTAGACATGCGCGGTGGGCATATATGCTTACGCCTTATTCTGTAGAAGACGGCACTCGCATTGTCAAGCTTATGCACGGGAGTGTTTAGTGTTAACCGAAGTGCAGTGAAAGTCGACACATTCAATTATCGAAAAACTGGAAACCTTCTGTCGGTGACCGTCGGCCTTTTTCACCGTACGCCGGATATGCTCGTGGGCAACGATCAACAAGATGTTCGTTGTCGGCCATTACTACGTAACCGTTTCATACTTAACCATTAACTGAAGTCCTTAAGCGTCTTTTATTTCTATGTCCAAGAAACTTAGAAACCTGAGATGTGGATTTGCCATGAAGCCAGTAACCATGAAGCCAATAACCAGAACGCCAAACTAGAATAAAATCAAGAAACCGGGAACCTTTCAAGCAGGTAACAAAGAAATAAAAATCCTATAGTCCCCTTAAAAGAATTCGTTCCAAAACAAATTATTTTCAAACGACTGAATTCAGCAAATGGTCAGTATTTATCTGCGCTGGCTGTTACGTGATCTAAAGTGCGCGCTTAATACTGTTAAGCTTTCAGTAGTCAGAGGTGCTGAGTGAACGAACTTTAAGGAGCCTGCTGCTATTGTTTGTTGACCATGCGACCACTACCACTGCCGTTAGTACTGTTCCTGATTCAATAAATCGAAAGGTCACATTACATACTATTAAAATTGAACGGTATCCATTTTCTAAAAGCAGACTATGTTTCCTACAAGGTCTGAGTCGTTCTTTGATCACCGCTACTAACACAGGAAATAAAACAATCAGTTATTTCTGTTCGTCGAATAAATTAAAGTAAAATGCACGCGCACGAATTAAAACGTCCTATATGGTATATGCGGTCACAGATTGGAGAACTATCTGTCACCGGCAGCTCGGGGTGCGCAATGCAACTACATATGTAAAACATCAAACTATAAGCCGCCATGGGTTTCAACCTGCCGTTCGGAGCACTTCGAAATAGTTCCAACAAATATAAAGGGCTTAGAGAGACGAGACTAGAGTATTGCCCAGTCCAGCATGCATATACCTAAGGCTAAAATTATTATGTATTTCCGAACATACTACAAATGTGACGGAATGTGACAAAAAAGAACAGTTATCTGCAATAAAAATATCATAGATTCGTCCTTCAATCAATCAATTTGGCTACGCTTCGGTCATGCAGAGCCCGCACAACGCGAGTGCACTTTCTTTAATTACTTTCTTATGGTACTTAATAATCTCATTGGCAAGTTCGATGACTACAATCTAAATCTAGTTCACTATCCACTAAAAGATTTCTGAAAAGTATGTATCATCTTAATATGTAAAAGAATTCGCTTTTCAGGCTCTGCGCAAGTTTCTATTCTTAGAAGTTTGTAAATACGCTACAACAAAAATTTAAAAAGTCATTTACAACATGGCTTTCGACAATCGACAAGCCGGACAAGGTAACGAAAAGCAAAATGCAAAGCAAATTTCTGCCAGAACTTTTCTGGCTTCTGCAGTTCTTGTTGCATTGCGAAGAGTATAACTGGAAAGCAGATGCAACTTTATACTAATGCCATAATATTATACTCATACAGCTCCACGAGGCGCAAAATTTTATCACTACGTGTAGTACTTAAGCACATACCAAAATTCCATTGTCACGCAAACGGTTGGATTGGTACCAAGAGATAAAGGGTGTGGGTCAACGGACAGTGCTGTATTTTTGGGTTTGAAACGATATCAAAAACTTCTGCGATATCCTTTGGAGCTTCGACGCGCCACCTAAAAAATATACCCTTGAGACTAATTTAATAACTTTTTCCCCGAGAGGTGGAGGGGGGGTTTTTTAGAAGCAAATTACAATGGGCGGCGCATTGTCGGCAAATTGGCTGCCAAGCAAAATCGCAAGCAGAACTATGCAGAATTCGGTCTTTCTGTGGTTTCTGGTATAACTGTTTACGGGTGCAAAATGACAGAAAAGTAAATAAAACAGCGCAAACCATTCCACCTATAGAATTCCAAATTCGAAACAGAGTTGGCTATACTTTACATTGTAAAAACGAGCTCGATAAACGTCCATATAAAAAATCCAAGATTTTCCGGTTGTGTTTTAAGGTAGTCCAACCACTCCAAAAGCTTTTGAAATTTGTTGTCATCTAACTGGGGACATAGTTTCCAGAGCAGAAGATTATATTCGTCGTGGAAACGATTTCCCGATGTGGCCCACGATCGTTCAAATCGGTAAGACCACAGAGAAATTGAAATTTCGAATGGATCGGTGCAACAATTCAGTAATCCGAAGTCCACGGTTGGAGTAAAGTGAGAACATGCGTATCTGAAGCACAGTGACTTGTTGCTCTTGAAAATGCAGTTTTTCAGGAGAACGTTATGGCACATGTCAGCGTAAGCTGGTGTAGGCATCCATGTTGTCTTATATGCTTTTTCGTGGTTTTTCCTCAGCATGTGACTAACCGGAGGGAAGGTCATAAACTCACCAAGCTGCAGCGTATAATTGTCAGCAACCACAAGCCAGTTCAGCTTCAACTCTAAAATCTGCAGGATATCTGACAATGGCTCCAAGATTTCCTCCCAACTTCCAGTGAGATATACGACCTTCGTATTTCTCGATAGGATTGAAATGATTATTTTTGTAAATGTGGAACTCAAGTCATTCAGGCGAAATCCTTCATCAAGAATAACATTACTGGAATACTTTGGCAGTACAATGCACTCTTGGAGAATAGCTGCCGACGACAGATGCCGAAAGTGACTTGATAACCTTAAAAAATAGACTGGACAATTAACGGTAGGTTTTCGCATTTCGATAAAAGAACAGCGTTTAAACTTTAACGTACGTGATTTTATTCGGGTATAACGTCTCAGCAAGCACATCCATAAAGCCATAAAGCGGTACATAAAACATTGTGTACCGCGCTGAATTTACCCTTAATGGGTTCGGACCGCCAACCAACGCTTACAAAAATGTGGTTTTGTGTACAAAACCGCTTTCCTTACGTCAGGATTTTCACTGCAGCAGTGGTGTACCGGTACGTTTATAACTTGGCAAAACACTAAACGCTGAAACTTTCTCTCCGCGCCGCCGCGCTCCGGTCTTCCACTGCACCGAAAAGTGCATCTTTCTAGTTTATTATAAAATGGATTGATTGTACTGCAGAGCTCACCCACAAATCTAAGCCGGGGTGGCATTATTGGGATTCTAGCAACAAACTACGTTCGCAGACGGCCTGGCGGGATCCTATGGTAGTTAATTTTTGCTGCTGCACGCTACCTCTTGAAACGCCCTTGGTCATACGCATCCAGAAAAGAAAACACCGTCAGCTGCACATCCCAAGGTAATTCATCTATGCGATACTCGCACGAGTTCAACGGAACTACAACAAATGCTAAAATAAATTTTGTATGCAGAATTCTTCAAATCAAATGTATGGCGTTACACTGGTGCTTCGGCTTACGATCGCCAAACGCAGATGAATAAGAAGCGTTAGTAAATTTGAATGGCAACATTTAGCATGCTGTACCCAGACAAAAATTGCTAACCTTCTGCTTCCGTAACAGCATTAACCAAGTGGCAAATTAGGTTGTCTGTCACCACGTGAACGCGCTCATCAAATTTCTGGAAGTAGTTCAATATCCCTGGCAAAAGGGACGCTTTAAAGGCCTCAGAAAGAGTACGCGGTGAGTCATAATTCCGGTGACTGCTTAGAACTTCAATAAACTGATCATCGGAATGGAGAAAGATCGTATTTGTTTGGCAGTACCAGTGGGTGTAAAACGCTGCGATACGGCTCAGCCATTTCAACCCAACTGAAACGTCCCGACACCATGGCTCCGACACTGGCAAGGGAATTCGCATTACAGGGAAGGTTTCCGGCGTCACATTTTTCCCCAGGTAACCACGAGGACGGATTGTCCGTGTTCTGTAACAACCCTGATACTGCATCATGACGTAACGTCGTGTAGTTGTTGGCAATGCGACTTCAACTTCCGTAAAATTGAAGAGCGCGGCGTCTTTCGCTGTGTAGCTTTTAATACACCCTGGCCACCATGATTCCCGTTAATTTTCATCCGTTTTCAAAAGAACATCAACTTCTCCTTCTTTTATTTCCTGATCTGTATGGGAGCGGTCTGAAAACTCATCTACTTCCCGTAATTGTTCAAATGGGACCACTGTTGCTTCTTCGGTTTGGCTATTGCTAATATAAAGACCGTTTCCTGCCGATCCACACACGTAGCCTCGGTAGCTGGTGCCATCATCACTTATAACATCTACCATGAATTTCGTATATGGAGACGATAAACACGGTTTTTCTAGTTCCGGCATTTTGCATAGTCAGTCAGCACACAGAATAAGAAAACAATTATTGTACTAATTCAATGGATGATAGATATCAGGTAAAAAAACAACGTTAAAACTTTGACTGTAGTTCTTTTCCCCCGAGTAAGTGTGCGCGTACACATGCACCATAATTATTAAAGTTTCCACAGTCTACCAGTAGCATGCCGTCGATCTTGGTACCGCACACTTTATGCACTATGCACAGTGTTACACATGTTGTGCTAATCGATAATGCTTCTTCGCTTTTCGGTGCATCAGCGCGCGGTTCATAGTACTATCGTATGAATTGTATGCCGGCTACAATGGACTGTACGGGAAGTTGTATGCCTTCCTTTTGCCCATATTGCAACAAGGACGCATCGATCGTCACTTAAAGATATTATCACTTACTAGCAAATGCTTGTCAGCAAATTGCAAAACGCAATTTATTCTTTTAAATAGTCAGCGATTACCGGACTGTTAAGTTTAAGTTATTAAGTATATAATACTGTATTATGATAAAAAACGAACTCAAAACAAAACATGTTTACACAAACTGCCAAACGGTTTGTTTTATCTTTTGCATAACTGAATTGTTAGTTTTAAATAAGGTCACTTCTATGCGCCCAAAAATTTTAGGGCGCATAGTTAATTTGCTATGCGCCCAAAAAATTTGAGGCGCCTAGTTAATTTGCTATGCGCCCCAAAATTTCCGGTCAAAATAGAAAAGCCAGTAATTCAAAACGTTATGGAACGTTAAAACATGGTATCAGCGAATCCGTAATGTTGCTGTGAAAGTGGTACAGAGTACAGAGACTACAGACCAGGCAAATATTGCAAAAAACAATGGTCTTGCTTGTACTCGTACAGTGCATTACGGCACTTTAATACAGGACATCATAACACAAATAATTATGATGGCTCTCTAACCAGGCATAATCAGATTTTAATTCAAAGAAATTGCTGCAGTATTTCCTATTTAATCTATCATAGACTAAGAAGAATGTAACGTTCCGTGATTATTGATTGAATTTACTAACTTTATTAATGGGATACTTGCACTCCTTAATTTTGGCGAACATAGCCGGCAGATAGTTTTCTTTTTTCAATCAGGCAATCCCTACGTTAAAATGTTGAAGCATGCATTCGTAATGCCTATAGAAGCCATAACGCATTGCTAACTAAATAACACATAACCAGTGCTAAAGAAAACCTAAATAAGCAAACAAATTTTGTTTTCAACAACTTGCCAAATGCAGAGTACTGACATGCTATGCGGAAGTCGCACCGCGACAACCGCACTAGATGACCAAACCTACTCAATCGGTAGAGTGGGAATATGCTCTGGACTCCGTAAGTGGTACTACTGCCTACTTCCGCTAGGTACGAGCGGATTGCTGTGCCTAACGAAAGTTACCAAAACCCAAACACTCAGGAACTTCCCAAATGTTTAATCACCAAACTGAACGAACGAACAAACAGAACAGAACAGAACAGAACGAGATATGAACTTCCTTCTAACCTAGAGCCACACGACCTTTCAGCTAGAAACAAGCTCACAGATTTAGTAGAAGTTAGAAACTTCAGACTGATTCAATAAACCAGAATCATGGATGGAATTAGCGATCAAATGCGTTAGATAAGAACAGCACGTCGTACGTAACGGAACAGACAACACGTACGTCATAACACGTACGTAATACGCGCAAACTACGCATAGCGCGTTAGTACGTTTGATTATAAATTTAGATGATAATTATGCCGAAATACAGATACACAAGTACAGCGAAGTTAAAAGTCTACCTTTTTATGTCACTATGTACCGGTAACTGTTATTCTGATAACTATTTATCTTTAGAAAATCATATTCTCCAAGTTGATATTCTCATATATATCTCACAATAAATGTCCGATAAACTGTAAACACGGCTGAAACACCCTGTGTAATCGAGACAGTGGCATGGAATTATGGAAGCCGTCTCGGAAGCGCGGCCCAAATACCGGTAACCACAGAAAAACTGGTTGCAGTAAGCTATTAATATCGATAATCGCAAAAGAAAAAAATTGATGAAATTCACGGCAAAACGAAATTTACCAGTTAATAGATAAGGTCAACGCTGTGCCATTTATACTTTTACAGCCTGAATACGAAATGTGCCAATTCAAGTCTGGTAAATCCAACTGGTAAATCAGCGGGGTACATATTGTACATATGTACTGTACACATCCACGAAAAAATGCATCAGATTTCGCGGACAACTCAGAAACAGTGAAAAAACTTCTAAAAGCAGATAACGAACGCAGAATTAATTTTCCCGTTAAAAGAAAGTAATAAAAACGGTAAAAACTGAAACACAAAACTTTTAACTGCAATTTTTTGGGCGCATAGCAAATTAACTATGCGCCCTAAAATTTTGGGGCGCATAGCACTTTCGTTTAAATAATTTACAATCACAGTTCTATCACCATAAATGATTAGAACCGATTGTATACAGTTAATGTTTTTTTTGTGTCAGTGTTGATAATTTTTTAATAATAAATTAGAACCAAATGAGCCTTTATTTTATACCAAGCTTGCATCCTGGACAGTGGACACAACTGGTGAAACTCTGCTTGTCCGCCGTACATCTGTGGTGCATTTCAATGCAGGCTGCTCTACAGGCTTCATCATTTACAGACGTCATCATGTCATCATTTATGCGCTTCATCATTTCAGTACTTTTTATTCTTTTACAGGCTTCGTTTACGGTTTTGGTTATTTTCGATAACTAATGCAGTAGTATTTTGTGTTTACCAGATTTTAAGCAACTGTTTATTAAAATAAATTGTTATGCATGTATGCGCTTTATACAAAGCACTCGCACATGCATGTCAGTTAGGCCGTAGTCAAGCTGAACAGACAGAGCGATAGAGCACAGAGAGAGTTGCAGAAAAGTAGCTCTGTCTGTTCAGCTTGACTACGGTTAGGCTTAGCCGTTGAATTTGTTTGCTCTTGTGCCTTCTGTAGTTAATTACAATGACGGTGCTGATCCTGGGATGGTGAGATGAAGTGCGATTAAGGCGCGATTCAAGGTGCGATTAAGGCGCGATTAAGGTGCGATTAAGGCGCGATTCGATTACGTAACGCTAAGGGGTGGGGGGGGTGGTCATGGGTATTTGTTACGCCGTGTTACATGGGGTAGGGGGTCCAAAAATTTTTGTTACGTGCAGGCCGACACCTCATAAAAAAACGAAAAAATTTAATATATTCTTATTGGAATTTAATAGGGGGGTAGTCGGGCTCTCTGTTACGTATGCAGTTAGGGGGTCGAAAATTTTGTTATGCGGTGTTACAAGGGGTGGGGGGTAGTCCAAAATCACGAAAAATCGCGTTACGTAATACTTGAATCGCGCCTTAAATTGTTAAATGGTAACGAATGTATGCATAATTACAATATTTCGGACGCATGCATGCTGTTATATACAAGAGTCATCTTGGGCTTTGCCTCAGATGCTCTTGTGACCTACAGTCAATTCCATAAAAAATAATTCTTGTTCATTTTTTTAAGTTTGGTTCTGTATACTTTTTGCAGGAAACGATTACGCACTGCCTTCCGTTCGTAGGCTGCTATGATCACGAAACAGTAACAGCTCATCGGTGCACTTTAGAACAATAAACTTTTAGTAGCACGACGACGAGTAGTCGAAGAGCGGTGCTTAATTTCTAGCAACTACGCTGTTTTTTAATAACTGTTGAATGATATTTTGATCGTGGACATTATTATTGGTATCGTTCCCCTTATTCAGTATGTAGACTTTGTCAGTGAATAGTGACTATATTATAGTGTGAACCTTTGAATATTACCGCTCAGTCGGCAGCACGGAATGCCGAACAATCCACAGTGATCACGTGGTCCTACTCACCGAAGTTGACCGAACAGGGGTACTTCTAGTAATAGCGGGTACTGTAGCTTTCGTTCACTCAGCAGCAGAGATCAATAATCCTTAAACGAAGTTATGGAGTATGGGTTGACTCTTTCTGGATTTTGATAAGTAATTTCATAGTGGGTAAGTACGAGTACGTATCTGGGATTAGTTGATTGAAGCGTGAAAACAATGGCGATGGCTGCATGTTTCTGTAGTCTGTACTAACTCACCATCAGATGCTACAGAGGAATATTGTGATATATGAATATATAATTATATATATATTATTATAATATATATATATATATATGATATATTATATATAATATATATTATATAATATAATATATTAATATATATATATAAATATATTATAAATGAATATAATATAAATATTATAAATAAAATATTATAAATATATATAAATATATATAGCAGTTATTATGTTATATTATAATTATGTAATTATATACATATATTATATATACATACTTATTATATGTTATTATTATTATGTATATATATGTATATATTATATTATATTTTTATATATGTAATATATATATATATATATATATATATATATATATATATATATATATATTATTATATATTGTTATTATATTATTATTATTATATTATTATTATATATATTATTATATTATTATATTATTATTATTATTATTCTCTGTATATTATGAATTCAGGATTCGCGTTGTGTCATGGCAAGACGGGAAAGAGTACAAGAATAAAAATTTAATTAATAATTTTGCTGACAGTGTATACTTGTTACAGACTGGTTATATTCGTTTTACAAATGCTATTACTGGAAGTAGTTTCCGTAGTTGCGAGTTTTACATATACAATATTTATTAAAAATTATCGTGCCAATAACAGGCTACTCTAATAAATATGGGAATACTGTACGTATCCCATATCTCGCGCGTACTGCACATGCATCCGTACTTGCGCTGCGCTGGAGGATAGACCAGTGCCCAGTGACTGACAGAGTTCATTTGCCTCTCTCAGCTCAGTTGTCATATAATGTGTAGTGCATCGATACATGGGTTGCGTAACAGTATCAGTATCAGCGACCAATGGCTAGTTACTGTATGCAAAGCCGAATCAGGCAGCGCAGACTTTCCGTGCGGTAACTGAAGTTTGAAGAGTGCCGGCATGGCCGGAAGTGCGCAATTACAGCTGAGTATCTTACCTTGCGGTACAGATTGCTCACTGCCG